TGGAGTAACAAGGGATTTGAAATCGGTGAGGAAAGATGCTAACAAACTTGTGAGATCTGTTGCATTTGAAGGAGGAGGAATATGAGGAATTTGTTGTTGGTGGTTAGGTATATTAGGATGAAGAGGATTTTGAGGTTGGGTTTGAGGTTGTTGTTGTGGCAGGGCTTGACATTTATCGGTTAAAGTCTTACCTCTAAGTAGTTGGGAGAATGATACATCATTGTTTACAATTCTGGAAGGCTCTCTCTCTCTTCTTGTTCTTAGTGCTTCATCTTGAATCCGGTTTTTCTGGTGTCTGGTTTTGAGATTCTTGTAAATTTGGCAGCCTTTGTAGTTGGCCGGGTGTCCCTCCAAGCATAGGGCACATACTGCTGGATCTTGTATAGGTTTGGTGCACTCTACAGATTTGTGCTGTTCACCGCACTTCACGCAACGCGGCAGATGGTGGCAATATGTCTTCGTGTGGCCATAGGTCTGACAATTATGGCACTGCACGATGTCTCTCTTGGGATATGGCTTCTCAACTTTCACCATTGTGTAGTATATTCTTGTGATATCATATATTTTTTCGATACCTGGTGATGGCTCCAAGTCCACGAAAAACAATGGTAGTGGGATCCTATTTCGTAATCCTGGCTGCTCCCTGTCCTCCTTCAAAACGTTTGTTACCTGGCGTACATTGAAACCAAGCGTCGTTAGTTCTTCTTTAATAACTTCAGTGGGGGTTGAGGAATGTAAATTTCTTATCACTACTCGTAAAGCTCTTTCCTGCCTCAGCTGGTAAGTGTGAAAATTCGCATTTGTTTCTGATAAGTACTTCACTATTTTTCGGTAGGCTTCTGCAGAATCAGGTGTTATTTTGGTGTCATTGGTCCTGTTAAGGCATGAATAACTGCCAGAGCAGATTTTATTTAGTTGGGTGCAGAACATCTGGAAATTTTTTATATTTTTCACAAATATCGGAGGAGGCTTTGGTTCTCTGGGTATTGCTGCAGACTCCATTACTTCTCTGTCATTTTGAAGCACTTGGTAGGGGTTTGGAGTAAAGAAAGGTGATTCTTCAATCGTTTCTTGTGCAGACGTACCTGGTTGGGGCTGAGGTTCTGGTTCTGAAGTGTTCATTTTGGTCACTGGAGGTATTTCTCGTAGGCAGCGACGAGTCCTTTGTTTGGCTGGTGAGCTAACTCCGTCTGACCGAGACCTCTTGGGCACCTTACTGGCCATCACTTGCTGATCATACCGCATATCATAAGAGAAAAAATAAATAAATAAAAAAAAAAAAAAAAAAAAAATTTTTTTTTTTTTTTCTTAAAATAACAAAAAAAAAGATGCCAACAGTAAATATCAACTGCTCTGATATACACTTTAACTGTATCACGTGAATAATCAGAGAGATTCCGCTATAAAATTTTTAAAAACTGAGAGAGGAGTTGAGGAGACAACCTTCTCATCAGCTGATTTTGGCAGATAATAAAGGCGAATTCTGTTCATTTCTGAAGGTGATTCAAGATAAATCAAACATAGATGAACAGTTGGCACATTTTTCGGTAGATTTGTCCAGGATTCTGTACGAATTGGCTATTACGCAGGGTTCTGTCCACGTTTAATGTCCGGAACACGTAGGGTGTCGATTTTCCTGCCCTGGTATACTCTTGTTTAGTTCTCTAATAAATTCTTCAGATAAGATATTCCAAGGCGAGGAATATTTATTGTTTCACATTTGTGGAAATTACTTAATCGTGCCTACATTTCAGAAACCTGATATGATTTACTAAATTATCATCCAATTGTTCTTTACAATCGTTATAATTGTAATTTAAAATGTTACATTTTTCAATTTAAACCATTTTTTTTTTTAATATTATCCAAAATTTAAACATCTATAATATTATAATTAATGCATTTATCTTATTTTATTTACTTATATTTTCTATCATCATCATTAATGATCGTATTTTTTAGAAATTAATATTATATTTTTTATGACAATATACCATTATGTTTATATTTATTTTGTATAAATTATAATAGTCTTAGATGATATTAAATGGATAAATCTTTAAGGATTTAGTTGGCTTGTAAACAAATTTATGTATTATAAAAAGAGAATGAGTGGGGTAGCTCAGTAGTAGGCCGCTGACTTCTAATGCTCGTGGTTCCAGATTTAAGTCCGGCTAACGGAAGATAAATTATTTATTCTGTTTCGTCGACTGTGGGTTGATCCTGAGGTCGAGAGACCCTTCTGGAGCAAAACCAGTCTCTATAAAGTGATTGATTTAGGTGAGAAACTAGGCAGTTGAGGTGAGCTCGGTCAAATCATCACCTTGCATAACCGTTGGCCAAGAAACCGTACTTACAAAACACTGAATCCAAGACCCTTCATGGGTTGAATGGTACAGGTTTATTTTTCCCTTTTAAATAGAATACTCTTATTATAATAATATAATTTACGTTAACAAAGAACAAAGAAAATCCTAAATTTCCTAAAATCTAAACATTTCTTTCAAATTAATTATTGGTAATCTGTGTAGTGTGAGCTAAAAACTGTTGCGTTTGCTTTGTTTAATAATTGTTTTTTTTATAAAATCTACATATTTTTCTTTTCATGCTAAATTTTTTTTTCCTCTTTTTATGATATTTCTCTGGCCCAAGGAGGTAGTAAATTTATCCATCGTGTCCAGAAAGATGATCAAAGGCAAAAGTATAAGACTCCTAATCAAAGTGGGAACGGGAAAGGTAGATGTTTGGCCGTAATAACTGTTTACATTACATATTCATCCCGTGTCGGACCTCCTCAGGGGACTCGTGTCCACCGGCCCAGAAATAAATGTATGTAAGCCGTCTCCCCTTCTAAGGTCGGTATAGTCGTTTAGGACGTCTCCAACACCATCCTTCCGGAATAATTTCCCAAACGCGGGATGAATTCACAAAAATATTTCCGAAATCATGTAATTTGTATTTTACAAATTAATTAAGAAAAGATCGTTAACTATTTCCTCAACCGATCGAATCGTTGAGGTCCTTATATTTATGTATTTTTTACTTTTGGTTTTCTGCAATTGAGCAATACAAATTTCTATGACAGAGTAAGGAACACCTTTAAATGGGTTAATACAGGTAAGGTTATGTAAATAATTTATATTTCAAATAAATAAGGGTAATCCAGCCATCCTACACGCTCGGGACAACAAACGTGGACACTAGCCAGCGCAATAGTCAATTCGTAGAGAGTCCTTGACAAATGTACCGAAAAATCTGGCTACTGTTCATTGATCTTTAATTTCTGTTGGGGATTACTATCTAATGACTATAGCAATGAAATAAAAATAAACAGGATTCGCTTCTATAATGTTTCCTAAATATGTTCGCAATAATATCTGGTATTTTCATTGTCAAATTTCTTCCCATTTCAGTAAGTCTCTAAAGTGACAAAACATATTGAATGTATCCAGAGGTAATGACCAGCAGAAATTTATCTTTTTGACAGTAAATAATTCATAGATTTGTTAGAAAAATTTGTTGATATTGACAAGCGTATGAGTGGCTATGGTGTGGATAATATGTGAAGACTATAACCTTTAATGTATGGCCAAGTTTCTGAAACCAATGCTGAGCTGTTCGATGCCATTAGAAATCTATCAGATCGTTTCTAAATTCATTGACTGAAAACGATCGTTTCTATTTTCTTGGATTGAATCACTGATGGCTCCTCGTATATATTGGCTTTTGGGGTCGATGGACATGCTAGATGTTAAAGTCGTGATGGTCGAGCATGTTAAAACGTAAACTTAACATTCTCGAGTCCAGTGACGCCTGTTCGAATCTGACTTGAGTAGGTTGAAATTTATTTCGTGGCCCACCCAGGAAATGAAAATTGGCGCGATCTCTTTAGAATAGGTTTAGTTGTGTCTCTAGAACAACTCTCCCTCCACTCCTGTATTCCATAAATAGAAAGGTAATGGCTATCGAAAAATAAAAGGATCCGCTGGATGGAGGGGTGCCCATAACCCAATGACGCATAAACCACTCTCCCCCTCATCCCAAGATATTTTATTTATTTTCTCTTCTTAAAAACAGTGCAAACTAAAGTAGAATTTTGGAAATCATAAATAATATACAATTACACTTCCAGTGGTTTGTTGTATATTTTCCTACTTTTATTTATTAAGTATAATAATAATAATTTTAGCCTATTAAGGTAACAACCGGATTAGAAACATATTGAATGAAATAAAATTTAAATATTGCTTATTATTAAACAATTTAAGAAATAAATTAAATTTTTATGAAGAGATGGCCTTCTTGTCTGGGGAAGCTAAATGTCTACTGCCTCTCTGTATTGCTATTTCTCAATTTACATCACATATTTCTATTCAGTTATTTCCTTTATTATTTCCTTTTCATGTTTTTTTTTTTCATTCATTTTGTTACTTTCCAGGATTGTCAGGATTGAATCCAGTAGGTCCTTTCAAATAGCAGATCCAGGATTTAATTTTTGAGAGGAGAAGGCTTCAACCCGAAAGCTTTTTTTTATATACATAACGATTATTATTTTGGAAGAAAGAGAAAGATCCAAATTACCTATATGAAATGGTGTTTAAGCGATTTTTCAGGTCGTGTTAAATGTATTTACATTAACAATAATACTTTTAGAGATGATTTTTTCCATAAGACATGGTTTAATTTTACTATTTTGGGGGGGGGAGGGCTTCAGCCCGAAAGCGCTCCCGCCTTCATAGATCTGCCTATGGTCCGTTCTAAACCCATTCTAAATCCCTGTCCATCATTATTGGATGTAATCGATTGATTTAGCGCTGTGTTTAGACACTTCCTCAATGGTTACATATTCTGCTTAACAGTTAGTACCCTATCTCTTTGGAAGAATGTAAAATTTATAACCTTACGTTGCAACCTCCTACTTTCTAATTGTTTACTCACAAAGTAAGATAGTTTCTGCTTGTAATTGAAGTGATTCATTGTTTTACAATAATATTTTAGTGATGTCAGAATACGACAAAGTTAAAAAGGGGCGTTTGTTGTTGAAGGGAGAAAAACCTAAGTAAGTTTATTGATTATACTTTAATCTGTTCCCAATATTAAACATGTGTTTCATTTTATTTTTATCTTCTATAACCAGTCAAACTTCATTGCCATCATTTAACTAACCTTTCAATAAAATGAATTTTTGTTATAACCTATTTATTATAGAAAGAAAAAGAAGACTAAAGACAAAGAAAAGAAGAAATCCAAGGATACTGAACCAGTTCAAGATGTAGACAGAATCGCACATGGTAAATAAACTTTCATATCTTTAAACCAAATAACTTTCATATCTTAAATGGCTTATCATTTATTATTAAATTTGCTTCTAGGTGGATGGGGGAAAGTCAAGTATATTAGAGACATAAATGGATCGATTTGTATAGAATTCGGTGACAATACTTATGTCAAAGCTTTAGATAATGGTTTGTTCACATTAGGAGCTCCACATGATGAAGGTAACTTTATTAATTCAATGTTTTTTTGACATTTATATGTTGCTTAATTCAATGTGAATTAATTCCTGTATTAAATTCTACTTAAAGGTGAAGGACCTTCTCCAGAAGAAATCTTAACTGCTGTTCCTGTTAATGATACAAGAGTTGCATTTAAATCAGGTTATGACAAATACTTAGGAGTGTCAAAAGATGGTATGGTCATTGGAAGGGCAGATGCAATAGGTTCACTTGAGCAATGGGAACCAGTGTTTCAGGTAACTATTTGGTTAACACTAATTTATTTAATGTTATTACAGTGCATGACATCAAGATTCAAACATACACTAATTTTTGGTAAGTGTCTCTAAACTACATGAGACATTTTGGTGTCTTCCAAACCTTTAACATTCCAATTCTGATAATTTTTTAAGAAAAATAAAGCAAGTATTCCCTTATCATTCAGCCCCTACCTCAACTGAGAAGGGGCCATTGATTCGGTTTGTATCCCTTTTGACCAAGAAGTAGTTGTAAGCTGCCAGTAAAAGATAATTAAGGCCTTGATTTTAACTGAAAAGAGAACATTGTGAATATGTGGAAACTGTAAATTGTGGTCTAAATAAAGGGGGCTTATACTCATACACAACAAAAACTTCTGTTCGAACTTAAATTTCTTAGCAATTTTAACAGAATATTCATCTGTGACTTTATACTTCCTTTATTATTATATCGTATATATTTGGCATTCCATACATTTATTAATGTGAAGTTTACTCTACCTACTTGTCATTAGATTATATCTTTTACCTACATGTTATTTCTATTATGGTCTTCTAGTTTCTCATATTTATGTTATCTTGTCGTTTCTTAGTCCTGACAAAGGCCTGAGTTCAAAACGTCAGAACAAATAAAAATAAATATAATTTGTTTATTTTTACTTTGTCTTTTGGATGACTGAACATCCCAACCAACTTCTCATCAATTTATCCATGACAATCAATCATCAATCCACTATCATGTTTTAGTTTAATTTTTTAAAAAGTGATAGTGAATGTTCAAAGTAATTAACAAATCGTTCTCCCTTCTAAAAATGTGCTTAATAAAATCAAAACATCAAAATTGATTATTATCAGGTGGAACCCGTCTCTATAGCTGATAAAGTCAGTTCAGGTTCAAACATTTATAATTTATAAATTCCAGTATAATTATTTACATTAAGTGGGTTTGACATCGTTCATATTTACCGATGTATTGAAATAAGAGTTAATTTTTGTAACAAATGCTTCTATATTTTAGGATGGTAAACTTGCCCTCTTGAGCTCAATTAACTGTTTTATGTCTGTACGTGACGACGATGACTCAGTAGTTGCAATTGCTCGTCAAGCTGGTTCTAGAGAAATGTGCAGTATTCGTACTCAAAAGCATGAAGAGTTAGATAAAAAACCTGAACTTCCTCCTGAAGAAAAGGGCTCAATTAAAGAAATTGAACTGAATTATGTGTAAGTTTATGTTTCTTAAATTTTTAAAAATTATTGTAATAAATTATTTTTTTTTTATATTGTATGAATATGTTATATCATATATCACTATAATTATTGTCCACGTGACAGATTGTTATATTTCTAAAAAAAAAAATTTATTAAAATTATATTACCTAATAGTAATAGACCAAAATTAAAATACATATTATTGCGAACTTTTTTAATTGTAGTACATAAAACTAATATGTTGTCCATTAGTTTAATTAATGGATTTAATTTTATACTAGTGTATTCAATACAGCTTCATTAAAGATCTTATACAATTATTTTATTAAATTTCTCCTATCCACAAATGGTGCAAAATCCACAAGATAAAAACAATCTTTACTACTAAACAAATCTGTTTTTGTTAACTTCAAACTTTATTGGTTGAATTTAATTTTATTTAGTATTGTTAATATTTTTATTTTTCTATCAATCAAAATCTTTTAATAGGATAACCTCCTTTTATTGGATTCAATCCACAAATGACTCCAACTGGTTCTGTGTGTGTTGTGCCAGCAATTGGAAGTTTTTAATTGACAATAAATCTAAATGGAAAACCAATTACAACTCCATCTTTTTTTTTTTTAGAAAAAAGTTTCAGAAATTTCAAGATAAAAGAATCCGCATTAATACAGAAGATCCTCATGTTTTGAAAAGAGCAAGAACAGATGGAACTCTTCATGAAGCCCTTCTTGACAGAAGAAGTAAAATGAAAGCTGATAGATATTGCAAATAAATGTAAATAATTGATATATGAAAGTATGTTATTTAAATTTCTTGTATTGGGATACAAATAAATATAACCTCTATATGTAAATATATAAATAAATTTTTATCCATGCATTGTTGTTATTATTTATTTTATTTACTGGAATTTAATCGTTTTTTTTTTAATTGTGGCTCTCTTTTTTGGCTTTCGCCTTCAAAAGATTTAATAATAATAGCTTTATATCTAATTAATTTACATATATCCAATCTATATACAACAAAATCTAAAGATATAGGACTCTATCTACGATAACTTCGAGTGTGGGTACAGGGGAGAGAGATGTACAGTGGCAAAACATTTTCTCACCTATCCCCCACTCTTTTGACTTCTCTACTCATTCATATATACTTCTAAATTTTTGTTTACAAGTAGAAAGTTCTTTTATCATTTCTTTTTCTGTTTCCTACATTGATTAACAGAAAGATTGGCTGTTCCTTGCTTTTAATAAACATTTGTGCGAAATTTGAAGAAAATGGAATAACGCTTTTCCGGTAAAAGGTGGTTGCAATGGTGAAGAGGTCTTGGGAAGGTGGAACTTGAGTGGGGGAAAGCTGCATGAGCCCTTACACTCAAACTTAACTCAGATGCACTATACCTTATTGTAATAACCATCTGTGGGGTATTTATTGGAATTGAATAAAAAAATAAATTTTAAAAAACTAATTACTTAAGTTAGCTATCAGACATTTCTTAATTATTAAGAATCATCAATCTGTTGTACTTTCAGCAACACAAAATTTAAAAACCTATTTGTTTTCTCATCTTTTTTTTATTTGAATGAGAACTTCTTTTTAACTATTAAAAATTTGTTTCTTTCATATTCATACCCTTTTCAATGGGCGGTTTTAAAGATTACATTAATATTATTCTATCTGATTTCCATAATATTCCTTAGAAAATTGAATGACATGACAAATAGATTTAATATGACAAGTCTAGTATATTTACCAATAGACTGGCATATAGGTCCCGTGCCATAAATTCACATTATCTGATAAAAATTTCGATAGCATTTTTTTTAATATTCATAACGTTTATATTTAAAAAATGAGGGTCTACCAGTCAGATCATGCTACCTAAAAAAATAATGGCTGATTTAAAGAATGTTAGACCAGCAACCTGATCGAAACGGGAAATTTATTGTGAAAAAATGTGGGAAAAGTTTTTATATTTTTAACTTGTATATATGAGTTTAAACATGTAAAAAACAAAGTTGCTAATGTGGACCACTGTTGGAAAACGTTTTACTGTAAAAAAAAACAACTGATTTTTCTGATCTTATTTTTTTGTTTTGTTTTTCACCTTTTAACTTTTATTCTGTGAGTTTTTTTCTCTTGGGAAACTCATTTTCTAGCTGCAGGGCCATTAAAAGTAATTTGTTTCAGTTTCTGGTGAAATCGGTGTTCGTGGACTGTGGTTATCTACTATACTACTTAACCAAATTATTAGGTTTAGGTATTTCTTCAACACACAATATAATGTTAATGAATTCCTGAAAGAGTACGTTTTTTGCTTCCATGCACCGTTTAGGAATTATAGTTGAAAAAACAAAAAAAGTTCACAAAGTCTTGCCCACATGAGCAATTCTGCTTCGTACATGTTTAAACCTAGATATACAAATTAAAAAATAGAAATGTTGAATATTTAATAGTTGACCGTTGCATTATAAAGGAAAAAGATGGTCCGGTGTGGCGGTCATAAATAGGCTAAATAGTGGCAAAACTATTTTATTAAAAGCCAACGTTTCGACCCGACTTTTCAGATCTTCAGGGAGGTGTGTTCAGCTAGGAGTTTCACTTAAAACTCTACTTCTACTCTGCCTAAACTCTTCTACTTAAGACTCATTTTTAAGTGAAACTCCTAGCTGAACACACCTTCCTGAAGAAGATCTGCAAAGTCAGGTCGAAGTGTTGGCTTTTAATGAAATAGTTTTAAAATTGAAACTTTTCTCACTTTTTTTTTTTCAATAACTTTCCCGTTATGATCCTCAAGTTACTGGCCTATATTCTTTCAATCAGCCACTATTTTTGCAGATAGCAAGATCCGACCAGCAGGCTCATTTTTTTTAATATGAATATTTAAAAAAAAATTTTAAAACTTCCATCAGATGCCAATTTTTTTGCACGAGTCCGCCGACTAATGGGACTAACCATTGTTCTTCTATACTTCATTGATTGTTAATTTATATATTCATTTGCATTAAATTATATATATATATTTTTTTTCGGTTGGCTACTGACCTACAGACCTTGTAGATCTTTGGCCACCTGAACTAACCTTCTCCACCTCTGCCTATCTTGGGCTACTGCATTCCAGTTCATGGCATGAAGCTCAGCCATAACTTTGTTTATCCTATCTATCCATTTGGTTTTTGGTCTCCGAAAAACAAAAACATGAGCAAAAACAAAAACTCCCACGTTTTTGGCCTCCCCTTTCTTGCCTAATACTCTGGCATTCATTGTCCTGTAAAGGCGTCCTGATGGATTGCTATGACCTACATGCCCTGCCCATCTTAACCTACTTGCTTTCATGTCATGAGATATTGACTGACCAGTTTCTTTCATCTGTTCTTTATTGTTCCTTCTCCTCCATGTCCTTGTTCCTTCTGGTCCCATATAGGTCCTGTTATCCTACGTAGAACTTTTCTTTTGAATCTCTCAATTCTGGCTTCCAGTGTGCCGGTTAGAGCCCAGGTTTCAGAACCATACAGCAGAACTGGCTTAATCACGGCGTTGTACACCATTATTTTGAGATTTCTGGAGATTTTTCTGGATTTGAGTACCTTTGAAAGAAAGAAGAAAGATCTGTTTGCACTTATTATTCGCTGGTCTATCTCTGTTAGTTATCATTTATTGAGGTTATTGTGGAGCCGAGGTATTTGAATCTGTCTACTTTCGGAAATGACTTAGAGTCCACGCAGATCATTTCCATCTCGCAGTTATTAGGGTGGATGTTTCGGCTAACTATCATGTATTTTGTTTTATCTACATTGACCTGTAGTCCGATTTGCTCTGCTTCTTTTAATAGAGTCCGAGCGAGTCTCTCAATATCCTCTTGAGTACTTCCGAGAAAAGATATATCATCGGCATATCCTAGAATTTTATGTTTCATTCCAACGTGCACCCCTCCATCTTCGCGTGATGTTATTCTTATTACTTTTTCAAGTGCTAAGTTGAACAGCATCGGCGAGAGTCCATCTCCCTGCATCAAACCCGTTCGAACTTCAAAGGCTTCAGATACTTCTCCTTGTACTAGTACCCTGCATTTAGGATCATTTGTACACGCCTTCGTCAACCTCACTGATTTCCCGGGAACACCCAGCTCAGTCATGATCTTCCAGAGACAGTTTCTGTCAACGGAATCATAGGCTGATTTGAAGTCTACAAATAATGTGTGTACGTCTTGATCTACTTCCCATCTTTTCAGGTATTTGTTTTAGGATGAATAACTGATCTAGCATACTCCTCCCTCTCCTGAATCCTGTTTGATGGTCGCCTATTATGTTTTCATAATACGGATATATCCGATTTAGCAGAATATTAGTCATTATTTTATAGGCGACCGGAAGAAGTGCTATCATCATCATCATCATCCTCTGTAATTGCCGCATTCATACATGGAGCCCTTCTTAAGGATAGGACAGATCAACCCTGTGTTCCATGCTTCTAGTATCCGTTCCTTCTCCCATATCTTCTGGATTAGATCTAACAGCTTGGCTCTGAGTTCTTCTCCTCCATCCTTGAATAATTCTGATAGAAATATATATATATATATATATATATATATATATATATATATATATATATATATATATATATATATATATATTTATAAATTATCTCTCTCTATATATAGATAAACCTGTATCTTATTTCTCTCTATTTTTATTGCCTTGGTTTTCCTTATTATCTAAAAATTTCAAGTTAATATTGTTAGGAACACCACTCAACTTTTTTATACCTCATTTCATTGAATGAAATCCTTTATTTACAAATATATACAATTTTATAAACAATTAGGAAGTTCATGAAAGTAAATAACTAATACCAGTATTTACAAAGGAACATCTATGTAAAAAAAAATTTTTTTTTGTACAATATATATATTACTTAAAAATTAAAATGAAATAACTTATAAATTAAAGCCTTAGCTGAATATAATACTGTTATTTTAGTCCTTTTTACTTTTTTTTCCATCTTTTTCATTTGATTTTTTGTTCTTTCTGAATAAATTGCATATACATCTCATAGTGAATATAAGAATGATTCCAAGTCCAATTATTACAGCTATAAACAGTGCAATTACATCTATCAGCCAGTTCTGATACCATGCTAGATCCAAAGTAGCTGGGCGCAAATGATGAGCACCATTATGCCTGAGTACGTATTCTACCCAGAAGACTGTATTGTCCAATGTGGTCAAGGGCCTGTCTTTGAATATCTTACTTTTTTTCTGGGCGTTTTCCTTGTATCTAAAACAAACAAAAGTATTAACTGACATTTTTTATCTACCAAATAGTTTTCAAAAATACCTACTTCACTGGGTAAAAACAACTAGAGAAAAAATTAATGTTCAAATTCACTTTATTAATTTTTATTGATGGCTCTTATTTCACATTGTGATTGGAGTTGATATGAAGCTAAAGTCTTTATAAAATAAAATATCAATCAAGATGTGATTTAAGAATGTGAAAGCATTGCATTTGATGTAGTTGGTAGTTCCGACTCTCACTGAACACACAATAATCGATTTAAAATTAGCAATTAATTATTTTTTATTGTTATCTAATGGTTTTTATCTTAGTTCATTTTTATTATTGAACTCCCAACCTAAATTTTTTCAAGAATAGATTTAAAATAGAAAACCGTCAATTTGATGTATGATGACATTAATCCTTATGATAAAGGATTAAAAAGCACCCATTTCATTATAATTTAATTACTTTTCTTTAAATTATGGTACCCGTAGTTAGCCAAACATATTTTTTACCACAAAATGATAAATAACTTTTTTTCAAGTCTATTTATGAATACAAATTAATCTAATTATTATTTTAAAAAAGAAAAATCGACGAAATACATCAAGTATCATAAGGCCAAGTCTAACAAAATTGTTTCTCTGTGTGTATATGATCAGTGTAGCACTGAAATAAAGTTCTACGAAAATGAATTTATATATTTAAGATACATGCCTGGGATGTTCCAGTATTACCGGAAGTACTACTTTATATAGGTGTCCAAAAATTAACGCAGTATTTAAATGAAATACAAAATACAGTTATTTCTGCTTTTGTTTCCTTTTTATTTGTCAATTTAACAGCTGATAGTTTAGGGTTAGTAAAAATGGAGCGTTATACTAGTAGACAATGTGTTTTCATTATTGAGAAATATTTTAAAAATAATGAAAGTCTTGCGGCCACAATTAGAAAATTTCGTGCTAAATAAGGTCAGAATAGTGAGTTAACTTCATCAAATGTGAAGAGAGTGGTTGAGAAAATCAAGAAGACTAAATCAATTGGTGATGTTGACCAATATTTAAAAATAATGAAAGTCATGCAGCCAACTTATCTTGTTTCTTTTGGACGACCACTGTTTTTTAACATCACCAATTGATCCAGTCTGCTTGACTTTCTCAACCACTCTCTGGACAGTTGATAAAGTTAAAAGACAGCCTAAACTGTGGTCTGTTAAAGTGACAAAGAAAAAAGAACTATGTTTTGTATTTAATTTAAATCTTGCGTTAATTTTGGGACTGCCTACATAATCAAATTTTAAGTATTTTACAATTTTCTTGAAAATGACTATATATATATATATATTTTGTAATATACACCTTTATTGGAAGTGGATAAAAATGATTTTATAAATTAATGTTGAAAAATTAAAAGGCTAGCTAATCTAGTACTACTAGTGCAGGGAAAAGAAAATGGCAGCTCTGTAGTTTCCCTAGAAGGAAAATCCCAAAGAGGAGAGCGACAAAGGTTTTTGTTTTGGCAAGCAGTTGTTGTGTGACTGTGGTGAAGAGAGATTAAGAGAAGATATGCTAGCCTGGCTTCAGTGGGTAAAACCCAGTAATAGTTTTACCATCTTAGAAGATCTTGTTTGGCATGGAGAATAGTTGTTTGGAATTGCAAGAGAGAGGACCTCCCAGAGAGCTTGACTTGGGTGGAAGAATAGTGTTACCATTTTGGGATATGTGTTTAGCAGAACATAAGAAAATGTGTGAAGACAAATAAGTTCAGTGCCACAATAGAAGAAACATTGTATGTAGAAAAAAATCTAGCTTGCCAATCCTTATTTGACTTTATTTTAAAATCAATCAGTGTTTAATTTTAGTATAAATAGTGCAAATAATAATAGTTTGTCTGAGTTGATCTGATTGTCAGTAACCCACACCTGAGATAAATAAATATATTAATACTCTTATAATTTTGTTTATTATTTAATAACCCCTTATTTATTTAGGAAGTATCCCAATGGTAAGAAGTGAGCTTCCAAGGTTATATTATTATTATATGTAACATATAAGAGGGATGTTACAGTATATACAAAGTTAAAGAAGCTAATGGAGAGTGACGAAAAACCTATATTATTTTCTGAAAATTGATATTATTCAACAGAAACTAAATAGAAATTTAACTTGACAACTAAAAATATGTAATGCACCAAATTGTCATTCGTATCTTGCCAAAAACCATTTTATCATACGTTGTGAGAGAAATCCATGCCACTGAAAATATTTCAAGTGCTATTTATGGGTTGGATAATCATCTGGTAATAATCTTTAATTACATAAGTTTGATAACTTTTGGCCTAGTAATAGATTTTAGTAGTTAAATATTTACTAGATCTTTTTGGGCAGAAATTTAATTATTTAAGTAGTAAAATGATAAGTGAGTATTATGTTACCAATCTTTTTCTATCCATTGTCTTATACTAATTACATTTATTATCATAATGCTTTTGTATGAAAATTCAGAACATTTGGTTATATATGTTTAAAAGTACTCTATTGAAGTGTTAGCCAATTTACTCACAAAAGTGTAAACAAATAATTTATAAAATATAGATTAAAATTGATTGATTTGAATGGATATTAATGTTTAGATTTAATATAATTATTTATAGCAAACCATTCAAACTAAGAAAACTCACTTAGGATCATGAAGTAATTTATTAACTGCTGAAGAGAGTTCGGCTTCGGTAACTGTATCTATATCAATGTTGATACCCATTCCTGAATCTTCAATCATCCTTAGATTGTAAAATTGATCACCAAACAAAGGAGTTCCTAAAATTGGGACAGCGTTGTATACAGCCTCAATCGTTCCATGTATTCCTCCATGGGTAATAAATATACGCATGTTTGGATGACCTGAAAAGAAAGAGCAGAATCATTTATCAAATTACTAATTTAGTAATTTCATGTACCTATCATGATGATTTTAGACCAAGCTAAAAAAAAAAAGCATTTATTTACTGTCAAAACTTCTGCATCTCTTGTAATTCTGGTGAGATATACAAAATGCAGATTTGTGGATAGTCACTATCTTGGATCAGGTTTTCATTGATCACACGTCAAGTTTCCATTATATTTTGTATCTGTGCTTATACATTTTCTATGGTATTATACGCATTTCTTTAGAAACATTTGAGCAAGAAAGAAAAACATGAAAAAAAATTAAGTTAATATAGATTATTACTCTTCAAAATAGTCCTGCAATTTTGTTTATTATTTATTTTATAACTACTATTAAGGGTTATATAGTTCTCTTTTTATTTTCACTTTTAGTTCTCAAATATAACAGTCTGCTTGATATACTTAAGTTTAGTTCTAAAAAAGTTCTGCTTCTTTCTTCTTCTTTTTCCTCCTTCTGCCTTTCAGCGTGGAGATGCCTCAGTCCATGGCAGCCAGCGCCGTCATGGCATTCAGCCCGTGTCCTCTTTGCTGTCCCAGTTTGGGGATATGGTCTGTCCATGTTAGCCTAGGTCTGCCCCGGGGACGTCTTCCAGTTGGCCTAGCTTCGAAGTACTTCCTTAGATCCTGATCTTTCTCCATTCAGCAAAGGTGCCCAAACCATTTCAGCTTCCTCCTTTCAACCACTTCTTTTACACCTGCAACTCCCAGGTTCTCTCGTATTCGCTGATTTCTAACAAGATCTCTTCTGGTTCGGCCAGCCACTCTCCTCAGGTATCTCATTTCTGCTGCAGTTACTCAGCTCCAGTGCTTGTCCAATGGGACCCAGCTTTCGCTTCCATAGAGAAGAGTAGGTAGGTATATAGCCTTCAAAATGTGCAGCTTCATGTTTTCGTCCAGTTCCCTCTTTCCAGCAATTGTGTTGCATAGTTGGTAGTAGACATTATTTGCCTTTTTATTGCGGTTGGAAACCTCTCCATCAATCTTTTCATTCCTGCTGATGACTGTACCTAGGTAGGTACGTTCCTCAGTCTTCTCTAAGGTTTCTCTTCTGCATCGGATCTCCACATTTTCTTCATTTCGTCCTATACACATTACCTGCTCTTACTTGCATTTAGCATCGTTCCCTTTCTATCCAGTTCAGCTTCCCACTCTATGATTGCTTGCTGCTGATTTTCTTTTGAATTTGTTATGAAAACAATGTCATCTGCAAAAATCATGGCCTAAGCAAGGATTGGCCTCATATTCCACTTTCCAACAACTGTCCGTGCTGTACTCCTCTTGCATATTTTTAGGATTTCATCCATGAATATGATGAACAGTAGAGGACTAAATCTGTCTTCTTGTTTAATCTTTTTTTCATTTAGAAAGGTTCGGATTCCGTTCCATTGTCTCCAGGAGAGCTTTTTTCATTTCTGCCCATAGGCCGTCCACATTTCTATCCATTGTGCAATTCTCGAGTTTCTGAGTAAGGAGTTCAGCATACTCTAAAAAAGTTCTGTAATAAAATTAATTACCACTTAAATTTAATAAAAGATCATTTTCTAAAAAAGTTTCATAGTACAGTGATTTTTCATCATAAATTGAAGTTATGTTTGCTTGTAAGCCTTCTTATTGAATCAAAATTGCATTTATCTTTAGTCCTCTACTCTTCAAGTCTTGACCTTCAGTAACTAGCCAAATTATGTTTGATTTATTTTTTGAAGTTTTTAGTAAGATTTACATACGTGGTTTTTATTTATAACTTTTACTTACTAAGTACGCTGGCTTGAGGAAACCATTTTGCAATCTTAACATTGTCGGGCTTTCCTGGCATTGTTTCATTTTCCCACTTCATCAAAACTCTTTGTTTCAATTTCCCAAATACAGACATGAGACTTGAGAGCAACTCTGGTTCCATGTTGGTCATTTTATAGTGAGAACCCCATGTAAAGAAAATTACCCCGTCTTTAGATTCATTCATAAATTTTTGTAAATCCTGAAAAAAAAAAAAAAAATGCTTACATATGAGTATATAATTTTATCTTAATTTAAAAACAATGAGATTAATTTAATTAAACAATGAGAAGTATCACCAGCTTATCACTATAGTATGTTTTATTATTTTTAAATATGATAATAGCGTGATTTGTGCTGCTCAGTGTAACATTATACTTTATTCAGATTCTGTTATAAGGATAATTCAACAAGATAAAATAAGTTTAAAAAATAAATAACTTTGTTCTGCTTCTATTTATCATAATTTTTTTAAAGAATCACAAATACTTTTTTACTTACAACAGGGAGTTTTCCTCCAGTATTCACAGAGAGACCAGCAAAATCAATTGTATTAGGAAGATATGGTCGTGGATAACTCAAAGAAAAGTGATTATCAACTAAGAATAAAGAAATGTTATTCTGAATCTCTGACAATGATGGTAAATTTTCAAATCCTGGATAATTTTTAAAATGTTCCTTCATATAATTGTTCTGTAATGTGAGAGTGATAAAATCAGTTTTAATATTTTATTTACATGTATCAATGTTATTTCAAAGGTATAAATACTCACCATTAACCAAGTCCCATATATTTCATCAACAAGAATTTCTATGAAACTATAGAAAGTGTTCTGTACCCTTTCCCAAAAATTCATGTTATCTGTGAATGTTAATTTCATATTAGGAACGTATGCCATTGGATATGGATTTCCAGAAATTGCTGAAATTCCAGGGCTAATATATATGGTCACTATTGCGACAACTGATGCCCCATATTTATGAGCAAATGCCATTAGCGGCTGTTGACAAAAGAATGGTTCTATTATTAATAAATCAAATTTTGAATTATTTTCTTTCATAAATTCTTGAAACTTGGGTATTTTGAACGCAGGGTCCAAAAAAGTATTGCAAATTGGCCAAAGACCTGTAAACTTCATAATTGTACTAAATTGTCTTATGTTTCGAACTCCAGAATTACCTGTAAATAACAAACATCATTGTTAATTTATGACTTTCAATTGCTCAGATTTTATATAGTAAATAAACAGATATTATATGCAATGAAATGAAACTTTTTAGTAAATTTAAAATAATTATTAATTTTTTTGATGGGTTAATAGTTTCTTGTAAAACTCTATATCTATAAATATCTATAAATCTATGTCTATAAATTTCTAAGAAACTCTAAATCCTAAATTCTATTTTAAAAAGGAAAATAATTTTTTTATTGAGTTTGGTGTGAACACTTGGGATGAGGAGGAGGGAGGAATGCATTGAATGAATTTATTCTAGAGAAAAAAAAACATAATGCCTAATAACAACTTGGTGATTTAGTCAAAATCTAATAATGAAACACCAACTGTCTTTATTTAATATTATATGTCTCACCAAAAAAATTGTCATATAGACTCTACTTAATCCATCCATAAATAATTATCTCATAAACTATATCTGATTTTGAGATAGCTGTTACATATGTATGATTCCTATTTCAGATTTATTTATAGTTAATACAAAATAACATAATTTAGTCAGGATTTCAGTTAACATAGTACTTACTGATGACTTGATCTAATGTATTATCGAGAACAATATCATTATAATTAGGAATTTTTTCCTTCAGTGGATAAGGGCTGACCATGGTAACATTATGGCCTCTCCTTGCTAATTCTTTTAGTATCGGGATGTAAGCGTTGGTGTGGCTGAAGGTGGGGAAAGGAAACATACCCAGTATATTTGCACCGTATACATTATGAAAAACCGAGCAGAATAAGGCTATTACAACCACTTTCATCTTGGAGCTGACCTGAAACAATATTAACATTGTTCATTAACATGTTTTTTTAAAATTCAGCATTATTATTACATTTTCATATCCAGTTAGATCAATTAAATCTTTGTTAGAATTTAACAGATATTCCAGGAATATATCATTTGTATTGATATTTGGAATAATGATATTGAAATGATTAGTTTAAGTAAAAAACAAAACAACCTAAAACCAGTAACTGAGACTTTTTATTATTGTTTTATTATCAACACTGTTTTTCTCCATACATTAGCGTCAAGCAGTAAAGATTTTGAGAATATATAAGTGATTATGATTATGAGAATTATGATATTCCTGTGTTTTGAATAAAGGAGAGAAATTTTAATGAAAATTAATAAATAAAGCAACATATAAATGTTGATTGATAAAACGATATGTTCTTCATTTACACTAGTATATTTTAAAAAATCAATTATCTACAATTAAAAATAATTATTTACTCTATGAAGGAATTTTTTAATAACTTATTTTATTGTATTGAGAATGCAACATATTTAATAACAAACTTTCTCACCATAAAAATTATTCGACAAAAAAATTCAATAAAATATTTATAGTGATGATTCCTAAAATTTTAATATGTAACAATTTACATCGATTTTATGATTTTTTTTTTTAATGTAGTATATTTTAGAAATATATTAAAGAAGAATGTATAGATTTACATTTATTCTGAAATATCCAGACAAAGACATAAAAATAACACTGAGAAATTACGAAACAAAAAGATGGAAAATAATTCAACAAATATTTGCAGCATCCACTGTCCTGGTGTTGAAAAAGAAAATTTAACATTGAAGCAGGAGTAAACAGAACAGTTAAATGTTTACATGCATTTAGACTCGTCTCTTATCATGTGTGTCTGATAATGGAGCTTTTATTAGTTTATTTAAAATTGTTCAAATATAACTATTTATAGAAATTACAGTTTTTTTTAAATTCTCTTCAGTCATAACAATTATGACTTGAGAATAATGAAAATAAATATTAATAAATTCAACATTAATAGGATCCAGGCATGCTTCCCCCCTCTTCCCGCCCTCCCTGGAAGCTGTAAAAAAATTCCAAAAAACAGCTATTTAAAGGAAAGAGAAATGTAGGGGAAAGTCATCCTTATAGATGGATTTCCTAACGTATTATAAAAAAAATAATTATCGTGACCAGCACAAGCGAATTCCTTCCTTAAATGGTAAAAAAAAAGTGCCAAAAACACTAATTTAAAGAAAATAGAAATATAGGAAAAATTAATCCTCATAGGCGAATTTTCCTATGTGATATAAAAAAATTATTATCGCGACCAGTACTAGCGAATCCAGCAGGGGGTTGCGCTCCTCTCTCCCCTGGATGTTGGGAAAAAAGTTCCATAAAGCAACTATTTAGAGAAAATAGAAATATAGGGGAAATTCATCCTCTACGACGAATTTTCTAATGTGATCATCATCATCCTGAGCTCGACAATCCATTACTGAATCTTGGTTGTCTCAAAAGTTTTCCTATACGTTTTGCTGTCCTGAGCTGCCGTCCACTAGTTCCTGATTCCAAGGATTCTACCATCAACACTTACCTGCATCTTTCCATGTCAGTTTCGGTCTGTCCACTTTTATTTTTTCACCCGTTCCATGCTCAGCAGATTATTGGAATTGAGGTCTCGTCCATCCGTGAAGAAAAGTGAAAGAGGAAATCGTGGTCCGATGACGAATGCAAAGTCCTTACTAAATGGACACCGTGGAGTAAGTTAGGAAGGTGAGCAAGCCGCTTTCAAAATCCGTCAGTGGCAGACAAGGTCATCTCCAAGAATCCTCGAAAATTAGAAAAATAATCAAGTTTTTATTGACTTACCTGATTTAACACAAGCATATGATACTGCGGACAGAGAAGAAGCATACAAAGTAATGATAGAAATAAATCCCTGACGAATAGGTAAAATTGATTTAAAAAAAAAAGAAAAAAAAAAGCTATTATCGAGGACAATTTATGCTCTGGGTGAGGGGAAGTTATTAAAAGAATTCACAAACAAGTATAAGGCATGCTTGTTACATAACGTCTCTCATGAATAAGCAATTAGAAACATAGTTATCCATGTGGCAGGAATGTTTCTTAACGAGGAAATCCAAATTTTAAAAAGAACTTCAGGAAGAAATTTAAACACTGTAAGAGAGGCTTTTTAGGCATTGGAGGAGGCATGCCTTCGGCCTTCTTATTAATACTGATAGAAGTCATACATCAATAAGACAGTAACAGGATTGAATGACAACAATTCTTCATGTACCTGGGATCTTAGAAGAATAGCGATAAAAGCCTAAAGAATAAAATTAAAAGACGGATCCCTTCAGCAAAACCGCACCTATTTCTCTCTGCAACTATGTTTAAATGGTGCATTGCTCGAAGGAAAGAAAATATAAATATAATCCGGTCAGCAATAACGTACGGTTCAGACTGTTGGACTAAGATATAAGTCTTCTCACGTTTGAAAAAAAAAGTACTCCATTCAATATACGGTGGAATATGGACAAGGCACCTACACATTAAGGACGGGCTGTTCTAAATTCCCCAACCATTCCTAGTCCTTATAACTCCCTCACAATCCATTCTATTCATCAAAAGAGATACCATGGATTAATTTCATACTAGGAACGTACGCCATTGGATATGGATTTCCAGAAACTGCTGAAATTCCAGGGCTAATATATATGTGGTCACTAATGCAACAACTGATGCCCCATATTCATGAGAAAAAGCTATTAACGTATGTTGACAATGGAATGGTTCTATTATTAATAAATCAAATTTTGAATTCTTTTATTTCAGAAATTCTTGAAACTTGGGTAAAAAAAAAAATACTGCACATTGGCCAAAGACCTGTAAACTTCATAATTGTACTAAATTGTCTAAGGTTTCGAATCCCAGAATTACCAATTATAAATTCACACCAGCATCTTAACACACAAGAAAAACATGTATGTAAAGGTAGTGAAATGATAATTAAATTACGATGCAACTGCAAACTTTTAAAATTATCACCTCATGGTGAATAAGTTTTTTTTTTTAAACTATAATACGTGTTTTCCTATAAAAATGATTATCAGTAATATTAACGTATATATGTTACATCCCAGATATGTTTTTCATGATATTTATTTCGTATTTGACGGTTGAAATATTAAAATTATCATTGAGGTGTAAATAATTCACTTGAGGAGGAATTAAGGATGAGTACTTAAAAATTGAAAGTAATCGCACTAATAATGACAATAACGTCAATAGCAAGATAACGAATCTAAAAGATCATTGCTTTAACGATCTTCCCATCTACTTCTTGTTCTACCCTCGTACGTTAATCTTTCGATACAGCGCCTGCATTTTCAATAATTTGATCTTGATCTATTTTAAACTATATGAAACATTTTAAATTTAAACCTGTATTTCTATTTATATATTTTCTGAAGTTGATTCATTGTTTTTTTTTTTAAAGTTGTTTTGATTGACTCATCGAGGGTTACATAACTTTGAAAGATGAATGAAATTCCAAATGACCTAGATTACATAACAGAAATTAATAGATAAAATATTCATATTTATGATCAAAATATAATAATACTTTTAAAACTTACTCAACTTGAAGGAATGGTTCTATTTCTTTTCGCGGGATTTGTTATCTCATCTGCAGCTGAAATTTCAGCAATACTTTGGGTAAATAGGTAGCAATATAAATTTAATAAACTTTTATGATAAGTTCTAAACTGCTTTAAATCCACTATATCCGACTATTTTAATTCCATTTAACAAAAGTTTTCATTCGTCATGTGACGTGTTCTCGGATAGGATTGAGGCTGCGTTGGTACGCTGACTGCCGAACGTTGACTGGATTCTCACTTGTATCTCAAGGTCTCTCATCACTTCTTCATGGTCATTTCGCCAGTTGGGAGATTTGGACAGGACCGGAAACCGACTGCTAATGTTGCATCACGCTTTATTTACTACATTAGAATATTTTTTAATTTTTCATTTAATTATCCAAATCAAACAAGGGTGATAATAGGTGCAAGGTATGGGTGAAACGTTTGTGAAAAAAAAATCAGTTGTAGCAGCGAAGGAGAGTATATATCTGATAGAAACAATATTTTAATGAAACAAATCATTGTAAAATTCAAGATATTTATTTACATACCACCATAAGTGAATAACTTTGCAGTAATATAATAAGTACAAATGAAGTGCAAGAACTTGCTTACTTCGATGTTACTAGAGTTGATGTCATACATACAACTTAAGAAATAAGTTTGAATAAGTGTGCATCACGCTTAAGGATGTAAATATCGAGAAAAAAATATATAAATATAACGTGTTGATAATTTTAACATATATCGAAATAATAATTTGACATATAGAAAAAAAATCGAGGAATGGAACGTAAATATCGATATTTGGGCTTATGCACAATGTTATAATCGTTCTCTAAGAAAAAATTAAAAATACACATCTCAAACTGATTTTCTTAATTGAAAATGGACGAAGCGAATTCCTTTTAATATGACTGCATTCGATGTACATCGTCAACCAAGAGATGCGTCACTGCGACAAACACTAGACAAACATTTCATCATGCAATTAACTACATTGTTAAATCTATTGTACTATTTCATTAATGCTTTAAATTTTAATATTTTTTTTTATTTCTACGTATTTTTTATCTCAATTATTCATTTAATGTATATTTGTCTTCGTAAAATCACTATATGTTGTATGTATCATTATGTATTTTAATTTGTATATAAATAGTATGAACATATATTTTTTTTTTTATTAATGAAATTTACAACTGTAATTAATAATAAATACAACAAGTAAATATGAACAAGTAATATGACATGTACAACATGAGGAGAAACTACCCATTGGTAGCACTCCAATTATATTTCTATATTAGAAGGTCCCGAGGCCATCTTCTTTTCAAACGCCTCGGAGGGTTATCAGGAATTGAAGAGGAAGCAAGGTTGGAAACGAGAGGGTTCGGATGGTTCAGAAGTTTATTATGAAAGGACAGGTATCTGGATTGAGCTAAATCGGAAACATATGGTACATTAAGGTCATTATGGATGATTTTATTTGTGACAAAGTAGGGAGCATTAAGGATTTTACGAAGGATTTTGGATTGTAGGGATTGGATACGAGAGGAATTTGATGGTTTAGTAGAGCCCCAAAGCTCGATCCCGTAAGTACAAATAGGCCTTATTATAGTAATATATATGAGTCTTTTGTAAATAGTTGGCAGTTTAGGAACGTATATATAGAATAATTACATCCAATACCCTTGATTGTGGCAGATTGTATTATTATTCTTCCAATATAAATCTTTCAAATCAACCTCCATATCCTAGAGCTTCTTGTCGGAAGAAACAACATTTTCAATAAATGATTTTATTTTACTTAGGAAAAAATATGAAACCTTGCCAGCAACAGAAACGGATGTTTTCGATAGATAGAAGCACAGCACCTCCACCCTGATAGGCAAAATGGTGACAGAAAAATAAGAAGGAAAATATATATTTTATTTTAGAAATATATAAAACCTAGCAAATTAAAATCCTCTTGCAACAATAATTACACGATGTTAATACCAATTTATAAATCAATACAATTAACTCATAATTGTTAATAAATGTTTCTTTAAAAAAAAACACTTTAAATTTATGGAAAGTGGCTTTGACCTGTTAAAACTTTTTCTGTCAACATTAATGTCTTTAATTTTATATTTTATTTTTATAATTAATTTGAGATGAAGTATACATATGGCTGCTTTTTAATTGTTTACCAATTCTAATTGGACAATTTGACAATTGATAAAATATGCAATAAAATTTAATACTATTGTTTATGACTTATATTCGGTAGCAGATAATACGAGCTGATGTTGACCATTCTTCAGCAGAAACCATTTGCCAATTGCTATTTTATAAGCAGTATAAAATATTAATATTATTTTATTATGCTTATATTCAATTAGTTATTTTGATTGGTTTAGAATATTTTTGTTTGAATACATTTACATTTAGTATAATTATTTTTCTGTTTAATTTATTTTTATTTATTGTGCGTAGAGTGTGAATGTGTTCTCCAAACATTATTATAAATGTTCATAATTGAGACAGATTGTAATATTTCTCAATAAAAAAGTTATAAATATACCTAGCCCTGTCATAAATATTGTTATAAGGAAATATATACAGATTTCAACAGAAAAAATATCTTTTTTCAAAAACTTTATTAGAAAAAAATGTATATCTATAGAGAGTAAAACAAAAAAGAAATTGCTCAAAATGTCACCCTTTTGCCTTGACACAGGCATTTAATCTCCGTGGCCAGGCATCAATACCAGCACGCAGTACTTCTTGAGAAAAGCGCTCAACTGCTTCGGACCAGAGATTGAGGCTTCCCAAATTAGGGTGTGCTCTGTAGCATACCATTCTCTCCAGTTCGGACCAAAGCCGATAGTCTAGTGGGTTGAGATTAGAGCTTTCTTTAGACTCAATCCGAGGCCGAGGTGAACTCTGGGATGTTGTTTTGCAGTAACTGCTGAATTGAACTGGCCTTATGAGCTGGAGCGGAATCCTGCTGGAAAACCCAACGACTTCCAGCAAACCGAGTATCATTTAGTGGCTTGACAACAGGTTCCAAAATATCGACCTAGCAGGTTTTAGCGCCTGTTTTAACTCCTTTCTCATAAAAGTGGAGCTATGTGGTGCCATCAAAGCAAACTCCCCACCAAACCATCACTGAGGAAGGGTGATGACCTCTTTAGACTGTTCCAATGACTTCCTGTGCTTCTTTAGAGCTGTGTTCGTACACACGATCATTTTGGCGATTACATTTTTTTTCAATTGTAAACATTCTCCTATCGCTAAACAAAATCATTCGAAGAATACCATTGGTGTAACGGCCAAGGATCACTTTGCATCTATCCACTCTAATTTTTTTTATAGAAGTGGTTAGCCTTTGTCCTATCATTCTTCGAAATGCACCCATCTTAATGTCACATTTTATTAGGCGAGACATTGATCTAGCAGAGGTTCCTATGACCTGACACATGATTTTTGTTTTCGAATGGGATTTCTTCTAACTCGAGACGCCACTGATCTCACTGCATTTACCGTTCTCACAGTGCGGGGACGGTCCGGTCGAGGTCTGTCACACACAGATATGATCTCATTATATCTATTCATAGTGCGCTACACGAACATACAGCTGATACCCAAAGTTTTCAAAGTGTTGAAAATCTCTGATCTAAATTTTCCAACTTTGTGTAAGGCGGTCAGTTTTCTTTATAACCCCACTCCATGTTAACTGAGCGAAAGAAAAATACAAACTAATTCGAATTATTATCCTGACATGTAAAGAAAATAACCTGATAGAGGTGAGGATTATCTAAATAATACTTAAGGATGTAAACAAAGTTCAACTTTTGTGACAGTATTTAGGGCAGAACTAGATATATATAAATATTATTTGCAGAATCATTTAATACTATACTCTCCACATTTTTATCATAAAAAAAACATTTGTTTTATAATGAAAAAAGTAGTTATTTTATAATTTGAAACTTATTTCTCTTAAATAGAAACACGAATGAATCCCCAAATCATCTGGAGAAACAGTATAATAATGTTACTTGATTCCAGACAATTTTATTTTTTCAATTTCATCATTCAATTTTTCTTAACGTAAATTGTTAACCGTTATTTTGATTCCACGCATCAGCAGGATTACAATTTTTGTTAACCTATGCTGCAAAAAATAAGTCAAGTCAAATAAAGACAAATGGATTTTGTCTTTTTCCCGTTGATTATTTCCAGAACCATTCCTAGAAATACTAAATGGTATTTCCAGCAGCAAAATGACGAAATTAACTCCAGTAGCTGGCCTTCAACTCCTTTAAAATTAACATGACTGAGAATAACGATGGGATGTTTGATATTTTTTTTCAAGCTCCGCATTAGAAAAGAAAAAAGTAGATTTTAATTCTTTTTTCTAATTATTTCATTTTTTTATTATTTTTTTTTTTTTTTAGAGAGAATGATTAGTTTTGTTTTCTCATCTCTTAATCTAGTTTAGTCGTAGTAACTTATTTTAATACCTTAAAACATTTCAAGATCATTTGTAAAGTATGTTATTGTCCCCATATATCTTGCTTATTATAAAGTAATAGACCTCAAAAACAGAAAACATGAGCAAGAGTATTCCAAATTCAAAAATCAAGAGAAATGTTTTTTGGAGCCACTTACTTATGGAGGCTTTTTTGTACTTAAAGTGCAAGGACCTTAAAAACTGTTCTCATTTATTTATGCAATAGCCTTATCTCTGTGCTGACAGAAAAAAAAATAAAATAAAATATGGTGTATGCATAAGACCACAAGATAGAAGTGAATGCGTCTACAAGGCGGAATTAATAATATGAAATATAAATGTTCTTTTGTTCTACAGGGTGTTTCGTAATTGCAATACACTATTTTAATTATGTGTTCCCTAACACAAAATAAACAAAAAGGTTCGTATTAACATATATCTCAAACTCATTTATTAAACAGATATCAAAGGTTAAATATGTATTATTTATTATTATTACAACATTTAGAGTAACTGTCCAAAGGAGCCTCCGTTTTGTTGAATGCAACATTCAGCACGAAGAATCCATGCTTCTCTGGTACTTAAGATGGTGCTTGATAGTTACTGCGACTTCGACTATCCGATTTCTTAGCTCTTCTTGCGTGCCAATTCCCTCAGAATAAACCTTAAAGAAAAGGTATGTTGGCAATGTCCAACAGCAGTCATATAAGGATTTTCTTCAGCCCAAGTATGGGTATTTCGAAAATTAATAATCCCGTTTTTTGTAAAGCAAGATTCATTAGTAACCAAAATGCAGTTCAGGAAGTTAGAATCTCGTGTGCATTGTCGAATTGACCACTGAGAGAAATTTCTGTGCTTGTTATAATCTTATGGTAACAAATCTTGCCTACTCGATACGTGAAATGGATACAATTGTTCGCGTTAAGTTTGCCATACGCTGAGGAAACATCAGAACGACGTGACAATCTTCTGGTTCTAGTAGTAAGAAATAACTGAACAGCATCGAGTATTTCTTCTTCAACGTTTGCAGTTCGTCGAAATCTTTGTCCACCAACGTTTGCTCGTATAGATTTTAGCGTGGCATTATCCCTGAGGCGTCTTTCAATGGCCTTGTAGAAGTACTACTACCTCCGTTCTAATTAATAACTGCGTCAGTGACAATATATCACTATGTGGTATAAATAGGGAATAAAATTCCGAAGTTACACTAGATTATATAGAGTTTAACATTACTCATATATCAAAATAATGTTAATATTATATAAGAGAATATTCCTTTTGTAAGGCCGAGCTTTAAAACATGTAAGTTCAATCAATAATTCATATGCAGTTATATACATATATTGTTAAAATAAATATGTTTATCAAGTTTATTTGCGTTACCTATTTAAGTTATAATGATAAATAGGTAATAGCCTCAAACGTTTTACGATATCATCGAACAGCAGTAGTTCTATGTATCGAACTGTTTCTATGTACCTCGTCATAGGTTACAAGCATGTCTGTTTGTTCTGCAAAAGTGAATAAATTTATGGTGTCTCCCATGATAATCATAAATTGAACCGAGTCACTCACACTAAACCACACACAACTATACAAACAGATGAGCGACTACTGTCATTGCTTATCGTTCTTTTGTTTCTCAGTTGATTAAAACCTGTCATTTAGTATAACACATGCTAAACTTTGTACAGTCAGTCTTAATGTAGTAAATAAGTAATAAGTGTTTAACCTTTGACTAATGTAAAACACACCATAATATAAAACAGTACTCTCGATTACTTACTCCTTCCTTAAAATATACCCTGTGCTTTAAAATAATGCATATTTAATCCTTGTGCTATCTCCTCTTCCCAATGCCACATCCTATGGAGTTAAGGAAAAAAAAAACAAAAAAGAAAAATGTTAAATTGTTGTTAAACTAGTCCTTCCCCGCTCAATGATAGTTACACGGCCTTGTGCTACTAATTTTCAAACCAGTTCAAATCCCATTTCCTTAAAATTCCATATGGCAGTGCAAGGATAAAGCTTGACAAAGATATACATGTATATCATATTGCATGTAATAATAAAAAAATAAATTTATGGATGAGGGCAAAATATTAAAAAAAATGAAATTTGTTACTTGTAATATATTTTTTTTATGACATCTTTTTCACTTTTTGTCGTCTCCAACACGGCGTAAAGTAAAGATAAGATTTTTAAGTACTGAAAATTCCTTCGCTTACAATATGCAGGTCCGATTTTTAGTTTCTGAGATATTTTAATCCAAATGCAACAGATCGAACCGATTTTACCCGAGTAACTGTAATATAACCGAGTTGACGGCTTGTCGCATTCTCTACCTAAAAAGTGCTAAGTACTCCAAAAGAAGTTTTCACTTCAAAAATTATATGAATTAAAGATTGGATTTATGTAAGAGCAGACTACTCGTTAATCGTAATATTATACAGAGTGTTTCAGGATTAAGTGGCCAAATTGCAAATATGAACTAAGGACCTCAAAACAAGAAAAAAAAAATTCTCTGAAGGTATGTTCGCAAACGCTTTGTTTAGGAGAAATTCACACCTAAAGATTTTCATTGTGAATTATTTACGTTATATGAAATAAATAAATCCTATTTATTTGCTCTAACTACTTTATTAATTAAATTTAAGCATTAACATTCATATTAAAATGTTGTTCAATGTGATTTCATTGCGGATTAAGACAGGCTTGGCATCTTTCTTAAACAGCAGCTGTAGCATTGGATATGTGTTATTGTTTCATAAGATTCAATAATCCTTCTTCATAATGCTATGTTCCTGGCGTATTTACGGCGAGTAGGGGATTCCAGAAACCGCATTTATTCCTATTTAATGTCTTTTATACTAATATATGTATTTATATCGGTTCCAAAAGGGGACCGATCAACTGAAAAATATATGTATTATGTATTTAAAGGTTAGATACCACAGACCTTACTGTAGTATCCTAGATTGATTAATATACTTCTTATTGAATTTCTTTTCGAAAGATATCATGTTTAAAAATTTACTATTTGTTTCTATAACTGATTGGTGGCATGCAAGGTAGATTGTAAAATTACTAAGATGGTACAATTCCGAATATATTTATAAAGTTAAACAAAACCAAAACATATATACACAATGAGTAGAAGAAAATCAAACTAGAGGAGAATCTTATTTTGGATATGCCTGATTGAGGTTATTAATGACCTATAGATTCTATTAATGGTTGCCAACACAAGTTTACATTTATAACCAAATTAATGTTTCTACTTAGCTGTTTCTTCATGATTACTGGTGTCGCCAGCATCTCTAGCTGCCTGTCTCTCTTCTCCTGGATGCCTCTCTGGACTCTCCTAGATTGATCCCCAGCTGCCTCTGTGGACTCTCCAGTCCATCTTGTTCTCTCCGCCTCTCTTCCTCCAGTCTCTCTTTCCAACCTTTCTGTCATCCCCCTCTCTTTTTGTAGTTGTCTCTGATTGGCTGAATTTTCCTAGCATAAGGGATGACCACGCCCCCTCAGGCCAAAATATTCCTGCAGGTGTAACGTTCTCCGTTTCCTCTTTCTCGAAGATGTTAATGTTCCCTTCAATCCTCTTTTAACACACCCAAGTAAG